GAAGGGTTATAGCTTTGAATTTATCTAAATAGAGATGAGACATACAGCATGAGAAAAGAAAGTCTGAAATACACTACTCTGTCGAGATATTCTAACCTCTGTTTCATGTGAAAACCTGAGATTCAACTTTTGTCTGTGTAGTAGGGAAGCAAGAGCTTATTTATTGCATTTGTGAATGTATGCAAACAGCCATAATCCAATAAAATGGGAAATGAGCTCCCCGGACTTGCTAGGTACTGAATCTGCTTTGTACTGCTAGCTTGTTAAGTAAAAGAAGTGCAATCGGGCAGATAAGACATTACCAACTGCAATTTATAAACATTGTAGTTACTTGTACACATAGGGACGGGAGGAGGTGATCTGAAAGTCAGACTAAGATTTATATCTATACCTTAAACTCCACTGCGTACTTAAACTATATATAACCAATTCATCCTCTTGGCATGACAATCAGTAAGTGGTAAATCTCAATAAAACTCAAATAAAAAATGAGGGGTATAATGTGTAGTAAAATCTCCAGTAGCTGGAGGCAATACATTTGATTTCCCACTCTGAGAAAGACGAGAAAGTTTTGTAAGAAAGACTATCTAATACTGATTTCCCTAAATGCTATCAAGTCAATTTTCAGCTGAGATCAGCACTTCCACAAACTCATGGTGGTAACTGGGAACTGAAAAGGAATGGGCAGTGCCTGTCCTCAACACACCACCACCGTTTACTGAGGTAGGGCGTATTTTCCTGTTGTTGGGAAGGGGTTAGCAGAAAAGATGATGTCACCTTTCAGAACTCACCTGCATAATGATGGCTCTTGCAGGAACTGACATTTGCTGTAATCAGTGCAACAGCTGAACGGCAGTGATGAGTTCCAAGAAAAGGAAACGTAACTGTGTTTCCTCTTCCATCTTGGCTGATCAAATAGAGAAGCCTCTGGCTGAAACCTTGAAATATTCTATTGTTCGTGCCTCTGCTATGAGGTCTTTATTTTCTTTCCTCTGAATTATGAAAATTTTGCCTATGCCATAGTATTATTTTTAATTTATATTTTAAAAATGCATTGTGTTTTCAGTACCAAATTATTTAATTATTTTTTTTCCTCAACTACTTGCTGATATTGTCATAGATGGTACTACATGTAGACTGTGCATATGGTACCAATATAGAAAACACAACCAATTTTCTAATTTTTTTACCACCTTCAGGTGTTCTTTTCATTGACAGTTAAGAGCTTTATTTCCCTTTTCTCCCACAATCTTCTTCAATATTTTGTCTGTGTGGTCTTCTAGCATTTTTTTCATCACCTTTTCACCACTATTAAACACCATTCTCAAAACTTCTTATTTTTTCATGCTGTCCATATAATTATCACATTCTTATTGATACTCATCATATTTGAACTTTCAGTTTTCAATAAATGTATCTTATTTTTCGAATAATTTTTCAGACAAACCTACTTTCACAATTTCCTTGAAGGAAAGCTGCTACATTATGTGCAGTCAAGTCTTTTCTAATCACGTTTTCTCTTTCCAATTTATTGCAACATTGGCAGATTTGGATAACACTGTCAGTGTTACAGCAGCTTCCATACCTATGTATGTTCATTTGTTTCTACATTGTAATGCTAATGGATCTATCTGTGCTGATATTTTCCTCTCCAAATTAAGAACACATTCCTAAAGGTATTCTAACTAAATTGGTTCCTTGACTCTAGTTTGTCAACTGCTTTACCTCCTTTATATGCACATACATATACAAAAATTCTAAGTGAAAATAAACTTCAATTACCTTGATAGTGCTCTTTAAAAAACCCCTGGGTATTTGTTAAGTGAAATTAAGTATGGAGGGTTTTTTAAGCGTAATAGGATGAAGACAGCAGTCAAAGCATTAACTTGCAATGTTGCCACTGTTGATGGAAAATTCTATAGAAAATTTTTCTTAGATAGACAAAGGTGTAAAATCAAACCCTTCACATGATTTTTTGATACTAGTAATATCTCTATGTGAGAAAGATATTAATTCCCTTAGTAAAGGAGGATATTTGAGAAAAAAAGGTTAAATACTGAAATTTATCAGTAATCTTTTAGATATACAGGGAAGAAATGTAAAATATACCGTAGAAATTTTGTCACTGAGGGAGAACTGTAAAGCCACATGATCACATAAACCTTTTTAACCTGTACTGATTAAAGATAGTACTCTAAAAATTCTTAGCAAATAGATGGTTTTTAAAAAAACATTTTCATTATAGGTGCTTAGAAACTGTCAGTTTATCTTATTACTGCTTTTTATTGAACAAGATGCATAGGGTGTACAAGACGACACAGAGGCATTTCCACCCTGAACAGATAACATGCTTGTAGTTTGGACTAATCATTTTAGGCAAAATATACTGTAAGAAACATTTAGAAGTAAAATCCCAATCAGATCTGTTTCAAAGATCAAGTTCATGATGTGCTTGCAAAAGAAGTCAAAAGTAGCTATTCAAACTTTTAGACAAAAATGCATTTTATTAAAATAAATGTCAAGATGAGAAAAGTATTCAAGTTGATAATTTAGCATTCAGATAAATAATGATGTGTTAACGTAACAAGTAAAAAGACACGTTCCTTCCCTGCATATCATGTTAAAGTTTGCTGCATAACAGAAGACAGAAACTAACGTTACATCTGTCTCTTCTGATTCTTCTCAGAAATACCTTATTAAATTAGGTGAAAATTCCTAGCTCCTTCTACAATAAAAAACCCAAACCATATTTCATAAGGTAAACCCAAAAAGGAGTCTGGTTTTGAAATTAATGTTCTTTAAAATTTCAAGACATCCACAGATCAATAAACCTTTTTCTTTTCCGGTATTTAATGGGCAGTGAGGCTTTAACAATCTCACTGCCCAACACATAGGCCTCTCTCTTTTCAGTTTGAACTTTTGGCTGACTTTCTTGAAATGGTCCATGGTAATTCCTTTGGAATATAGTGATTGATGCTGATGAGAGAAAAACACATTAATTTCAGGCTGCCCTAACAGATAACATGAGTAACGATCTATTCAAGCCAAGAAACTTATTTCTGCTTTCCACTGGAATTCTAATGAAGAGGAAAACGCCTTACTGACCACACATGCAAAGAGTTCCAAAACAGCATAGATCACTGAATTAATATGTTAGCCTGGTGAGATATTATAACTGTTGTTTATATTTTTGTTCTTTTTTTTTTTTTTTTTTTTTTTTTTTTCAGAGAAAAGACAAGAGATAAATTCAGAGCAAATTATTGGTGAAAATGGAGCAAGTTAACTATTTGGTTTTCACTAGTTATTTTGTCCTTCCTTTTGAGATAGGCGCATTTCTTTACCACTGCCAGCAACTGATGTTATAGAAACTGTTCTGAAATGCCCAAATGCAAGTGTTATCTTCAACTGCTGAATGCGACAAACCACTTCCTTTCTGTGACTTCAGGATGCAAGAGTGATATAAAAACCTGAGTAATTGTAGTGCAGATGAAGAATTGAGAATCAAGGGCAAATAAAAATGTATTTAATTGTTTATTATGTTTAATTTATTCTAACTTCATTTATGTATACCCATTTAGTTGTTATTATTAAGAATAATAATATTGTTACTATTATGATGTGTGGACCTTCTTATGAAGAAAACAGCAAACTAAATAGTAATATTGTCCCCTCTTGTGAGTTACACACAGCACAATTCCATATTAATAATTCTATATTAATAAAGTTGGGCCAGACACTAGGAACTGAGAAATATGTTGTCTGGCAGAAGATGTGGTGTAAGGTGAAAGCACTTTTATTCCTCAAATCTGTCCTCCTGAAGTCAAGCTTACAGCTCAGTCCTATAAATATTTCTCTCCTATGTGGAAGTAATTGGTTCCTTCTGATGAATCACACTTCTCTGTTTCCCCTTATTACAAGTTTCTTAAAAAGAAATGCCCATTATGTAATAGTTGTGATATACAACGCATGCATACTTAATTAACTGGTTTAATTTACTTGACTTGTAGTCTGTGATAATTTGCCCCCCACCCCAAATGGCCACATTTTCTACTGTTTTGCTGTATCACAGAATGAGGGGCATTACTGTAGTATGGGAAGAGACTTTGTTCCAAATGAATCTTTGTTCACTTTACAGCATACTGAGTTTTACTATGAATATTTTTATTCATGGTTTTTTTTCAAAAGTTTGGTAAAATACATGTTGATCCTTTAGAGGAGGCATGGCTGTTGTCCATTCTTACTATGGTCTCTAGCAACTAGAACCTCAGAATTTCAGCCTTTAACTTTGAGCTGCCTGTAGGTTTGCTTCTTTAGAAATAAAAAATAACTGTGGAAAGAACAGATTCCTCAAGACACAGAACTCTATCCCTTTGTTCCATGCATCCAATCACCTGATACACAGCTGTAGAGAAGAAGAGCAGCAATTGTGTTCAAGATGCATTTTGCAAGAAACCATCTCTATTCAAGGAATCTTGCTCCCTTTTTATAAGACATTGCAGTGCCTTCCAGTAATATGAGACTGCTAATGGATGAGCTTGGAGACAGTCAGATGACTCAGTTTGTTCTAAATTCTGCTACTGGTGTGCTCCATAACCTTGTGCAAATATTATTTTTTATGCCTTCATTTAGATAATAGAATTCATACATTTTTAGTATTTTAAAACATTGATGGCTACTGGCTAATTCTGTAAAGTGTAACAATCCCATTCCCCTTTTTATAGTAAAATGGTAAAATGCATAAGATGCAATCTGAAGATATATATATATATGTGCATTAAATAGGTTTATTTGAAAAGATTACGCATGATTTTACTTTGACCAAACACTCTAGCTCCCTTTGACTTTAGAAAAAAAAAACCACTGTTCTGAGGCATCTAGGTATGCTCTAAAGAAAATCTACTGAGAGTTACTGAGCTAGAATAATGCACAGCTACCACAAAATTAAATACAGTTGAAATGAGAACTGCAAATGAAACAACCCCAAATTTTCTTTTTCTTACCTGCTGGTTTACGGGAAAATTTCTGTTGATTTTTTTAATCTATAAAAATGAATAAAAAAATAGATTAATACTCAGTGATTAGAAGAAAAACTAAACAAAACAAAACAAAACAAAACATTGGATTTCATTGGATTTTAGAGACATATATCAGACACTTCCTTCCAAATTAGGTGTATATATGAAAATCTCTGAAAATCTCCTGCAGTAAAGAAACTGAAATCTTTGACAAGCTAATGTGAATAATGAGACATTTTTGTTGTCACTGTGTGGTTCATTCAGCTATTCAGAATACAGAAAAAGAAAATACCTGCAAAATTATTTCTGAATTCTATGACACTACAATCTTTTCTTTTTTTTTTTTTTTTTTTTTTTTTTTTTTTTTCTGATTAGAAGCTATAACATTAAATGGAGTGTTTAACTATATAAATAATTCAGTACAACTTACTACTATCCACCAAAGTCATCAAGATTTAAGCAAATTCCTTTCCTTAAAGAATGATGGGAAATTGGGCTGAAACAGCCTTTGAAATATTCCTTACTCTACTTTTGTATCCTAGGTGCAACATCAAGTGTGCAAAATCAGTTTTGATAACTGTTCAAATAATTTTTTCTTAAAACATTTAACAATAGCCCTAGGTAAAAGGAGAAAACCAGTCTGAGAACACCTGATTCTTGAGGAGTTTGTACTTAGCCCTGCAGATCATTGACTCCATCTGAATAAACACTGTCAGCTTTATGACAAAAAAAGTGTCCAAATCAAGGAGAATTAGGTGTGGAACATACCCATTCCTGCCATTAGCAGAACAAACCTGTGGTTTTTGTGGTGGTGTTGTTTTTGGTTTTGTTTGGGTTTTGGGTTTGGGTTTGTTTGTGTGTTGTTTTGGTTTTTTTTTTTAATTTGTTTGTTTCTTTGTTTTTTATTTTTATTTTAAGCATAAGCCCTGAAAGCTTTTGAGCAAACCTAGTAAATCTACTATGTGCATTCATGACAGATACTTAATACCTAGAATTTATTTTTCGCTCTTTTATGTTAACTTTACACAATTCTTTGTGGTGCTATGGGTAAAGGAGTAAACCACATCTTTAAATGAAAGACATTGCCAATTAGGAATCAGTTGTATTGCCCTGAAACCACAGTATAACATTTACACTGCTTTGACCAAAGGTATGGTATCTTTTTAGAAGAAGAGAAGAATCCCCACTGAATTTCCTCTGGTGTTTACAATATCATCTCAAAACAACTATATATGCAGAGATGTGAGTGGCAATGTGTTTTGCATATTTTAAAAACAGACTGTTTGCTGCAGTGGTAACCTCTTTGCATTCTTCATGTAAATACTGAGCAAGTCTGTAAGTCTGTCACTGACATCCCACAGTTTTGCTATTAAAGGATAATTTTTACAGCCAAGAACATGCTGACAAGCAATTTCAGTTGGTTTTCAAATGTATCCTGAATCAAAAGTGCCAGAACATTTCCACCCTCCTTTCTTGCATGTACCTCAGTTTCAGTTTCCTCCTTCAATGTAACTTAAGTGGAAGCATTAGAGGAGCTAGAACATTCGGTGGATAAAGTATTAAAATAAAATAAATCCACACATTATGAGATAACAACTATTTTTTCATGAATTCTTAAAAGAAAAGGTGGATGAAAAACAGGGTTTTGACAGAAAAACAGAGACTTCAAGACTTCTGAGATTTATTCATAAACCTCCAGTATGATAAATCTCTGTTTGTGCTAGTAGACTCTATTAAAATCCTCATCAAAACTGTGTATTTCCCTCTAGTTTAAGCAAAACAACAGCCAATACTGTGAAAAATTTCAGTTATGAAAGAACACTGTCAAGAAAAAGATTCTAAACAAAATGCTGAAAATACCTCTTTAGGGGCAAGTTGTAGTTACGTATTAAATACTTCGGTGGCATTTTCGTTTACTTCATATACAGATATTAAATTTTTTAACAGAAATAAAGTACATTAGGAGCCTTGTGTAGTTTTAAATGTTCCTGGCCAAGGTAAAAATGCATGATCCAAACATCATTTTCTCATTCACAAGTTTTCAGATCATTTTTCAAAGTACCATCTAAGTATCTATATTGCATAGTTGTTTGACTATTGTTACTTTGATGAATTGAAATGGTCCTGTTCATCTTTCAGGTAACATGGTGATGATTTCCTGAAATGCATTGTTTTTAATTATGTTATAGTTTGCAAGCTGCATTAGAGGTGTTTAGTTCTACCTGGAATTAAAAACTGTTAAGTGTGATTTATTTTAGGAATGTCCTAAATGTTTATCATTCTCAAGCATAAAAATGGGACATAAGGTAAAAAACAAAAAAAAAGTTCTACAATTAGGCAGCAGAAGTCATTGATCTTTATAATTATGACATACACTGTGTTAAGAATACAGAAAGAAAAGCATTAGTCAACATTGTTCTTCCCAGCATGTTACAAAATACACTGAGTAAAATTTAATCTGTAGATGAGCCAGATCCACCAACCCTTAATAATCAAAATCTAAATGTTAAACATTTTTCACAAAGGAAAAGAGAAAAAAAAAATCTACCATTACCTGATAAGATTATCTAAAAGAAAAATGTTCCTTTAGTCTTCCACAATGTTACTGAACTCACTGTAATGCTGTTATTTATTAAGCACAATCACAGCACACAACACTATGTAACTGATGTAAATAAGTAACATTTGTTTTCATCAGAGGACACCAGTACCATACACATCTTTGCACATAATATTTTTTAAAAAAACACTCTGGCAGATATTACCCTAAAAAAGAAATCCAATCTCTGAAAGAATTCTTTTAGAATTTTTATTATTTAGAATTAGTGTTTATCCACAGCAATAAAAAATCAGGAGTGGCCAAAAGGAGTCAAAAGAAGCAGCTAGTAAACATACTCTGCTCTGAAGGCAAAGACAGAGGAAGGATGAAAACTGAATTGAAGCTAACAAGAACTACCTGCTTCTAGTTCATGTTCACAAAGAAGGTGCTGAGGGGTGAAATTGTATTCTGGTTCAATTTCCACGAATTCAGATTAGGAAAAAAAATCTAAGAACACCATGCAGAAAGTAGTTTGGGATTTGGTGATCACCTAAACATGGAAGGAGGAAGAAGGCATCAAAAAAACCCCCTCTGCACTATATTGCATCTGACTAGTAAATAGGCAAGTGTTGATACAAGACAATAATGGAAGAATAGATTTTAGGGGAAGATATCATAGAGGAATGGTTTGAAGCATAATTGATTGTGATAAGGGTGCAAACAAATATGACTAGATATGTTCCAAAAAATCAGCTAGCCAAATATGTCAGGACATCATAACCATGGAGAATATTGGACAGGAAGCTGATACAAAGAAGTGAGACATAGAGAAGAATGAATCACAGCCAAAATCAGTTAATTTTGTGTACTAGAAGTTGCTACCACAGATGGATAGCTTTCACAGTGATGGTTGTGACTGCTCTGCAGAAGGAACAAATAAGAACATGGAACACATCACTCCTCAGCAGGGCAAGCAGATGAGCAGGCTTTGCTTTCAGGTGTGCACAATGATTGTGTTTTGTGGGGGTTTTTTTGTTGGTTTTTTTTTGTGTGTGTGTGTTTTTTTTTTTTTTGGTGTTTTTTTTTTAGTTTTATTTTATTTAACAATCTTCATGTCAGAGAAGCAGTAATTTGGAAGAATAGCCTTCTATACTACTAATTTTTTGTGTGATTTTTACCTTATTATTGTTGTCCTCTGATGTAATACAATTGATGAAGCTCACAGAAACTGGGTTTTAAACTTTCACATTCAGTTGAAACTGAACTGAATTGTTCACTCCTGTAAGAGGTATTATTTCAGATCTGCTCTGAGCAAACAACACTGTAATAATTATTTTCACTTTCCAAAAGAGGATTTTGAAGTGTGATCTCAAAACTGCTATTTATTCGGGGTTTGTTTGATCTTTTTTACCTATTTATTTTAACAAAATTTGCTATTCCACTGTAATCATAGGAACCTCATGAGATGATGAGCAACTGTGCCTTCCAATGAGCACATACCACCCTAAGGACCATTAAAAGCAGTAAGATCTAGAGGTAAGGGCAGTGATTCCAGGTTCTTCCAATTCTTAAAAATGTAAATAGAAGCAATCATAGGTTTGAAAACTCTATGTGTCCCATGTTTGCTTTAATTCTATTTCCTCAAAAATTGTATTGTAAATGAGAGGCTCACAGTTCTCATGTATTACTTGGAAAGATGATTAATGACAGTGTGAGTCTCCGGTATCACAACTGGTCCTCTGCAAGAAGCAATAATATAGTATGTGTTAGCTGTCAGGACAAATAGCTTGACAGAGACCATTCCCTTGGAGTACCTACAGGAACAGCCAAGATTTAAGGGCAACATTTTCAACGTGAGGTTAACAGCTGCCGCTCAGTATTTTGTTGACTTAAACAGTAGATCAGATTCTTGCACACTTGCACATGTGATTTGAACTTTCATTTTCTTTCAGCCCATAGATACCATGTAACTTTGAAGATCTCCTTCCTTATCAGAAATTTTCCAATTCAAAAAAAAATATTTATTATTTTAATTTATGCTGGACATATATCTGGATTTACCCAAACAATTTAGATTCTGTAGCCTTCTTAATCGTTTGCATTACATAACTGCTGATTTACATTCATTAACAGCTAATTAAACTATAATATCTTGACAAGAATGAAAATTCGTTAAATAGTCCTTAACTTTATCTCGTGTATGCCAATGGAATATTAAGTGATTGCGCACAGGTAGAAAGATCATTACAATTTGGAGCACTTTGGAAAAAAACATGCTGTGATAATCTAATGTTAATGAATGACTAAGAAAGAGTATATAACTAACATTTGGATTTATTAGTTGGTTAGTCTTATTTTCTGTCCTTGTTAGGCTTTTCTTTGCTCAATGTGATAGGTAAGTTGCGGTAAGGTGGTGAAATTTTGTTATCCAAGAGTATACGTGCATTGAAAAAAGCAGGGAATCAAAGAAAATTTGAAAGAAGCA